GAACTTCAGAGTTTCTTCTGAAGAAGAGAATGACGTGTCTCAGAACTTCAAGAAGTCTAATGCGAGGATTTGCAACAAGAATCTTTGTTACTAATTTATTGAATACATTTCAGTTCCCAAAAAGTAAATAAAAAAGTTTAACAGTGGGTTGAGGTAAACGAAGTAGTTTCTTTTAGTTTTTTTATTTAACTATGACATAGAACTATTTATTATTTTTAAGTTATTATAACGAACTTTTATAAATAATAGTATTTTACGTTACAAGTCCGGTAGGTGACTTATTATATGACGAGTTGTTTTATGGACGAGGCGATGCGACGTAGGAGCCGAGTCCGGAATAAAAACGAGTACTGTAATAACACCTAACGGCCGTGTATCGTATGATATTTTATTTCATACTGTCTTTCTATTTTTAACGAACAGAAATTTCTATTTTTTCCTTAAAATTATTAAATTTTTGTTTGACATCGCTTGATCTGTCATTTTATAATATTGTTTGTGACATGTCTAATATCACGTTGCTAGGCAACATTTACCGGTTCTGATACTGTAATAGCTCACTTACCGGCCGCAAATGAATTTACCGGTTCTGATACTGTAATAGCTCACTTACCGGCCGCAAATGAATCCAGGAAATAGCAATATACCGGACAGTATGAAATAAAAGTTATTTTAATATCGACTGACTTACTGAACACATCATTTAAAACTTTCATCGAGTTTGTCGAAGACAAGATTGAAAGCCATGAAATTTTATGTAAATTGAGACTTTTGATGGAATGGATGAGTTTTTTCTCTTTGATTGTGTAATAGGTGCATTTAATGTCAGATAGATTGACTTGAATGATGCTTATAATAAACATGATTTACAGATAGAATAGGCAATCTGCTTATACACATTGTGGAGAGCGTGAACAATTTTGAAATAAAGAAAAACTCTAAAAGATTAAAAAAATGCTTTCTTTATCTACTTGTAATAGAACAAAAAGTAATAAAATCATATTTAATTTAAAAATATTCCTTATAAAAACTGCTCCAGACGCATTTTAAAACTGTAGAATAGTGCAATGTTTCTAAATTTCGAATAAAAAATCCCTAATTTAATTATTTTAATTAGTGGCAAAATTGGTGGTAATATTTAGTATTTAGATTATCTAAAACTGTTGAGATAGTGAATAGTTCCTTAAAACATTTACATACATAATAGTAGTGAATTTTAGGAATTTTTGCACTTTCTGAAATACCCCATATAACTACATCAGTATCTATGGAAAAGTGAAAATATATTATTGAATTAGGTATATTATATATAGATGTGCTGGAAAATATAACAGAAGTACAATTTTACGCATTTCATTTTCTAATTTAAATTAGTGGAAAAATCCTGAGAATTGAAAAGATAAGAGATTTTAAACACGGTCATGCAGCTCTTTTATTTTTTATTCATCCCAGACAACTAATTTAGCTTACAATTTAATTATCTCCGATTTTTCCAAAGAGAAAAATTTAATCCAAGCTGTCCAATTGGAAACATAGTGCTTTCTTAGATAAATATATCTCGAATAACTTAATTACAATACAATGCGCCTTTACTGGAAAAACCATCTTTCGAACGCAATAAATTAGAAGAGGTTTATTCCAGGGCACTAACTTTGAAATGAAATGAATTCTATTGTCACCTGAGACTTGCAAGTCCATCAAATCTTCTCAATTAAATGAGGATCACTTGGAAACCTTAGCTTTAAGGCTTTCGAGGCAGAGAGCGCTGTAGTTTTAGTTGAAATTCCTATATCCTTCTCTTGATTCGACTTCATAAGTTCTAGCTCCCAGAACTTTATTTCCTTGGTTTCAACTAACTCCTAGTTAAAAATGAACCAAGCGCACAGGCGCTCTTACTTAAATATCGCCAACAAAGTTCTTCCAAACAACTTTGAACACACCAAGGATTTGGCTTTATGCATCGAAGTNTTGAAATTCCTATATCCTTCTCTTGATTCGACCTCATAAGTTCTAGCTCCCAGAACTTTATTTCCTTGGTTTCAACTAACGCCTAGTTAAAAATGAACCAAGCGCACAGGCGCTCTTACTTAAATATCGCCAACAAAGTTCTTCCAAACAACTTTGAACTCACCAAGGATTTGGCTTTATGCATCGAAGCAATTTTAACATATGCAGGAGTCCATAGTATTGATTTATTGTTTGATTGAATTGGTTCATTGCTGTACATGAAAATAAATAATTGGATGTTGAATTCCGGAGATATGTCATCTTTTTAATTAGAATACACTCAGCTTACGGCAGTCTCTCATGGTTTATGTTCTGTATTAATAGAGACAAACTTATGAAATCTTATATCGCTATAACCATAAAAAATTGCTCTATATAATATGTAAAAATATAATAGATGCTTAGGGATGGATATATGCCAATTTTGCTGAAAACTACGAATCGTCTTGTAGCTCGAAAACCATGAAACTACCAAAAATACTACCCTACAACTCTTAAAACAGCCGAAAAGTGCACACCTCTACCGACAGACCAACAACACTACCAAAACATTAATTCAAATTGTCCTTTTTTTGTCTTTGAAAACCATATATTGATTTTCCATCCCCACACACAAATTCACTCTCTAACATGATTAGTTTTCGAAATATTAGAAAAAACCGAAATTTCGGAAATCCGTTTTTGTTTCATATCAGCCTTCCTTGTTTGAGGTAATATTAAAAAAAGAAGAACACTTTCTCATGGCCACTTACAAAAAATGTAATAAAATTTCTAGGGTCGTATTTAAAAAAATGAAGTTGATGATGGCACTGAAGAGACGAAGCTTTACATAAAAAAATAGATTATGCCATTCGATAGAGGGGAAAAAGTGGCCTTGAGAAGGTGTTCTTCTTTTTTCAAACAAGGCTGATATGAAGAAAAAACAGAGTTACTTAGTCTTAATGTTGGTCCCCTGATTATGCAACTTTACCCCCATTTAAGCTACTTCACAACTGTTACCGTTTCCGAGATCCATGTAGTGAGAAACGAATTTGAAACAGCCTGTACATGTGCATTGGAAAATTTAGTTCCCTAATACCTTATATGCGTCGACAGTCTTATAAAAATATCCAAAATATGAAGGTTCACCATTTTTCTCCCATTGCCGTACCCGTAGTCGTGAAATGTCAGACCGCTACTACTCATGACAGAAAGATCCAATCTATATAACGGCCACTCCGATAGGATCACCCCTGCGCCCAGCGTTCCCACTGAACATTTGTTACACCTTCAATGTTATTACAGCCTACCACTCTTCCTCCTTTAACACTGTTAGATTTCATATATTTCCCTAACATCTAGTGTTACACTACCGGTACCTTTCCAATGTTAATATAACACAAATGTGTTTTTTGTCTTCAGAACGCGATGTTTAATTCTTTTTCTAAGTATTGCTCTGAAAGGAAGTTTATTAAAACTTCGTCACACATGTGAGATGATGCTAGGTTATTTGAAGATGCTTATACAAACAAAATGTAACACATTGAGAAGATTTAGTTAAATTCAAAATAGTTCGTTGTCAGACATCGGGAATAAATTACAGATCTTCCAACAGAACAGTCTCCAAGTAATGGATATTTGATTAAGAGACAGTCTAATTGAAAATTAAGAGCAAGCTGAGCTAATTATTATTACCTATTAATATCAAACAACTTTTTTGATACTTAAATTATTTTAATAGTGATGCTATTAAATAGATTTTATTCAAATTTTGCTTTCAGATACTGTTACAATGAAACTGCACAGTAATGTATACATTTCAGAATGTGGGCAATTTGTCAATACAGAGGCCCCCCTATGGAGATACAGGCCCCTAAAAGACGTCCCTGAAAATCGATTTTTTTTAAAAACTTAAAATACTTTGTGTAATTTAATTATTTTTTAATACGATGGACAACAGATAAGACTCCTTAAAAATTGACCCGTGAAAACAATTTGGCTTATTCGATTTGCCAGGGACGGAGTAGCTGTAGGACAATAATGTCAATTTTTTTTACACCCTTTACGATAAAGGCACGAAAATAATATTGTTAAATAGCTTGAACCTTAAACTAAAAAAAGGCACTCTTGGTTGATATCGATAAAATGAACTGTTTTCGAGAAAAAAAATCCTATTATGTATATCCGTAAAGAGAAATAAACCGATGAAATTTGCATTCTTTCTGTGCCTAGGTATCTAAAAAATTGCCACTTTTATTTACATTTATACCAAAGTATTTTATTTTCATTAAAAAATCTATTTTCAGGGGCGTCCTTTAGGGAAAATTTTTATAGGAATTTGTCATGTTATTTTAACTTCCACTGTATAAATCTGAGAGATTGCCAACATATTCTGCGACACCCTGTAGATATCGCAATTGATTGAAAACTCTCGTCGCCAAATTTAGAAAATACATATATCCGTAATTTCAATGTAGTATTAAATTTCACGTGAAATTCTAGACAACTATAATATTAATGTAACAGTTACCGTATCTCTAAAAGAAGATAAGAACAAATTAAATTAACCTACCAGTTTGAATAATAGGTCAGAAAAATAAAATTTAACAGCTAAATCACTTCACCATAAAACATAGCAACGTCTGATTTTTTAAATATATTTTGTCTTACCCTTACTGAAAAATGATGTAAATCTTGATAAAATATAAACTCGTTTGATCCCTTCCGAACAGCTACCTCAGGTTCCGTTAACAGATTAAAACCACAAATTCAATAAACTCAAATGTGCAGCTTATTTCCCTTTGGTATTTATTTACTCGCACAGCTATTTGATTTTTCCTTAGCGACCGAAGTTTACAAGAGATTAATTATTTGCGATATCAGGGACTTACTCACTTAGGTATTTTCGTTAAATATAGCAATCATTAATTATGATTTCTCGACACGAAAGGTCATAGTAAAACATATATTACAAGTTGATTTTGTCCTCATTTCATACCTAGTAATTTACTTACCAATTTCTAAATACTTTTGATGAACCGAGTCATATTCATCCCAAACGATGGATCGAAATCTGTTACGCTCTCTTGAGGCAGCAAGGACAGGTTCCTGTTTGTGATGTTCATTTGGATTTCTGAAACAAATTAACGTTATTACAACCCAAATTTTTATACAGAATTCGTATAAAATGAAATTGTATAAGTTCAGTGATACTAAATATCTAAATAACTTTATAGAGAAACGAGTATTTAATAAGTTTACAACATTATTTAGTACAAAAAGTAAAAATAAAGTTGAATCAAAATTATGTTGAATTAAATATGTTGTTTGGAATATACAGTACACTATTATTATCCTAGAAGTATCCAAATATGGGTAATTTTCATTTCAGATGATCCTGAAATATTTATATTTCATGTATTCAATTTTTAAATCGTGTTAATTAAAAGTAGTGCAGTGTTTTTCTTTAAACTCGCTCATATTATATTTTCGACAAGTGTCCCCATAAAAAAAAATTTAAGGGAGTTAGATCCAGCGATCTGGGAGGCAATTCAATTGAACCTCTGGAAAGTTCTGATTAAGAGAATCATGCACAGTTACGGGCATAATGCGGCTTTTGTATTGAAAGATAAACGAAAAATCAAAATATAATATTGAATATTTAATAAAATAACATTCTTTCATTCACTGATATTTTGTCTTATTCTTTAAGTGATAATTTTATTGTCATAACCAAACCAAAATTTAAAAAGTCGCATTTCGTCGTGAGCAGAATTAAAAAACCTTTAAAATAGGGTGCCATTTAAAATTTAAGGGTGTTTACGCCCCTATGGGTAGGTGATATTAATCATTGTCAAAATAATAGGGGACAATAATTATTCCTTAGAAGTTTACATTTATTTCCAACATATAAATATGCACTATTCAAAAGAGAAAAATAGTAAAGTAGATTGTGTAGATAGACGCGTTTTAATTTCGTTAAAAAAAAACAGCTATTTGAGAATGAAACACAAAATACCTCGATATAATAAAATTAACTGCTGGAACACATGTTCTTTTTATTTCACAGATGTAAATTTATTTAGTTTAGAATTTGTTTGTGACATCCTGTTTGTACATAAAGGACAGCAGGGACTTTTAAAAAGAGTAATGAGGGACAAAGGAATACCTTCCTGTGAGAGGTAATATAGGCGCCTGAGTACTAAGGTTTCATGAATTTAGTAAAAGCTTGTACTGTGAGAAAAAATGGGTTGTGTAACACGAAAGCAAAGTAAAAATAGTCGGCGAACATGTAATACCTCGTTCAGTATATTGACTGTCGGGAGGGCTCTGTATAATAAACAAAGTCTGGGATGAAAAACTGTGTCCATGTGTAGAGTAAAAGTAATTGAAAACGGATGTTTCACTGAGCAAAATGGCATTTTGTTTTATTTGTTCGCATCGCTTTCATTTTATGGGCGGCAGTAAACGGTAATTATTTGAAACGTGTATGTATTAATGCTATCGACCTCAGAAAATATAGCTATTTGCTGTTTGGGTTATCGGGAAAGATTAATTTAACTATACAGTAATTCATACAGATAGTATGAATTAGCGTTTACATGAAATTTCCGTTCGCAATTTTACATAAAGAATACAAACATGTAGTTTGAGGTAACGACCCCTTCAATATTGAACTGTAACTAAAAAAACTGTGTATTATAAACTGTAAACTAAATTTGAATGCTCTAGTAAAACTTTCACTAATTACACAGTGTATTGTCTAAATACATGTCTTAAGTTGTTCCTTCAGTTATGTTAAGCAAAAAACCTTAATGAACTAAAGATTTAGAATAATTGATTTTTGGGATATAGACTTTTATTGAAAAACATTTGGTGGATGTACAAATGGTCGAAACAAATGTGATGTACAAAACAAAATATAAAATAAAATAAAATAAAGCATACCAATTTTTGAAAAACATCTTGTACACCAGTGGAAAACTGGTTGAATGGATTGAGGCAAGAACTCATATCTACCGAGCAGTGTATAGCAGAGTGTATAGAAGTCTCAAATTCTCTTACAATTCTAATAAATAAATTTGTTGCAGTTTGTTTCACTGTCCGAACATGGTCCAGAAATATATGTTCTTTTCTTTCTAAAATGTAAATTTTCTGTGGCGACATGCATCAGAAAAAAATATTTGGCTGAGCTGTAGACCAAACCACTATATTTAATAGTTCTAAAGTCTTTTGTCTAGCTGAATCCTAATCACATAATATCAAGAAACTCCCTTAGAAAACAGTTTTCGGGATTTTAAATATATTTGAGTAGTCAGTGAATGGAAAAACCATTCCAATTCATGATCTCATTGCACCATAAGGACATACAAGCTCCTGTAGACTGATGATCTCATAAATACAGTCATGTGTTACCTATAATGTCAGCCGAAGTTACTTCTTTTTATAACGTACATACATAAATGTCATTAAGAATAAATAAAAGGATTAAACTCCATAATTCTTTAACACGGTTAAAACAAAAGGTGATGATAACAATAACTAAACTTAAAAACGCTCATACTACATACAATTACAATCTATTCTCTATATGACCTCCTCTCATTTCAAGACACATATCCAGTCTTCGCCTGACTTCTGCGTTTATTAACAATTCGCCTTAACTCATTACTAGCGTTTGTGATTTTTTCTTCCAAATGATTAATATCTCGCAAAGGTGTTTTGTAAACATTATTTTTTAAATTCTCCCATAAAAAAATTCGAGGGTTGTTGGATTTGGTGACTTTCTGGGTCACTGAATAGGTCCATTAAGCCCAATCCATTTTTCTGGGAAAGTATTATCTAAATATTGGTGCACGATCCTGGTCTTGTGGGGTGGAGCCCCGTCGTGCTGAAACAATACGTTTATCCTTAGTTGCAAAGGTACATTCTCCAGAAGTGCAGAAAGTTCTGGTTGCAGGAAATTTAGTTAACTCACGCTGTTCAATATATGTTCATAAAAATAAGGCCCAATTAAATGCCTACCGATGATGCCGCACCATAAATTTACTCCAAAATGGCCTTGATTTTGGACTGGATTTACAATGTAGGGATTTTTAATGGAGTGTTGCGCCCGTTTGGCAAACCATTATTGACAAACCGACTTTCGTCCATCCAAAGAACGTGCCGAAAAAGGTTCTGATCAACAGTTTCTACATTTACTACAATTTGAGCTATAAAATTAAGTCTGTTTTCAATGTGATGCTTAGACAAATACTCCAATTTGTGAATTTTGTAGTCATGATACCCATTAAAATTCGTTGAACGGCTGATTTATCCAAATTTAATTCCCAGCTAGCCTGCCGTATAGAATTTCGTGGACTTTGTTCGCAATACTGCATCAGTCTAGCTGTATTAACATTGTTTCTTATCCTTCGCTTGATATTATTTGATATTTCCGAACCGAAAATGCATCTTCATTTCGTCGCAAGGTCGCCTCCAATCTTGTATAGGTTCTGTGATCAGGAATGAGCCGCTCTGGATACCTTTCTCGATATAACTCTACAGCTCTTCTTGAATTTTTTGTGACTTGCCGTAAATTAGCAACATATCATTTTCTGAATGATAATAAATTTTGTAGGTACAAAACGTTCGTATTGAGTAATGACAAGTATTTTGTGACATTAATACAGAAAAATTTCTCTAATAAAAGTATTAGAAAACAGAGCTTTAAAAAAAATTGGGTATGTTTCTGGAAAAAATATAATTGATGACGTCATTAGGCGTTTCTGTTAAATCCCAAAGATAATACTTTCGATTGAAAATTGAGCTTACCTCATTCCATTTAACAACACGTTGCACGGGAACGCAACCGTGAGTGGGGAACGTACCCCAGGAACTAACAGTGACGAGTGAGAGAGAGACGGTGGCGAACGGTCGGTGTGGTCGGTCGCGATGAAGTAAAGAAAAACCCTAACGTAGATTAAGTGTTATTATTAAGTTAATTAAAAGTGATGTATACCTACGTGTGAGAGGCCAACAGCCCATGTTATTGTAGTTAGTAGCCCCTGGTACCAGGTAGGATTGTCAAATTAGTTATTAGAATAAATTAAACTTATGAATCATAATAAGAACCCACCAATTATTAAAGTGCCCTGAACTCTACAACGTGTCCCAAATGTTGTTTAAATTTTTTGTATCATCACAGTAGGCCTATACTATCGACTTTGAGATACCCTGTACAATCAGTGATCATGACTATTGGACATCAAAATCATTCAAATAAGATTCGATACAAAAAATATAGTGAGTTATAACTGGTGTGATGGAATAAGGGAATGAATAGCTCATCATAGTTCAAACTTAAGATAATGAGTACTAGATGTAAAGGGAAAAAATCTTCATATAACTTGAGGATAGTAGTATATTTAGATCATAGGTTCATAGGGGTTGCATGTCCCGAGGTGTTACCCAATAATTATAATGTTATGGTGCAATGAGATCATGAATTCCAATGTTTTTCCAATCACTGCTCACTCAAGTCAGTTTAAAATCTTTAATATTGTTATCAAACATGAACAATGCGGGACATTAGATTCGGATTCAGCGGAACAAAATACTGTATACCCTGGTCGGGTTCATAGCTTAGCCCTCTATTTTTGTTGTACTTAAACCATAAAATATAACTTTTTGACTAAAAACGTAAAAAGTTTTTTCGGAAATTCCTTTTTTGATTCATAATATCTCGAAAACGAAGCCTCAATGACTGTATACACGTACTTTTAAATATGGAATCAATTTCAGCAATTTGCTTTTTTCAGATTGAAATTACCTGTATTTCAATGTTACATACCTGTGGCGTGTAGTGTCTGTTTCTATCTCTAGTAATGAAGCATCGAATTCAGAAAACAGGAGTTTAATTAACAAACTCTAAATAATTTAATAACAAAATAAGTTACGTCATCTTAGGAATGATATATTAGTGCTGATGTGGACGATTGCTAGAACCGGTCACATACAATACACTAAATCAGCTCGTGTTCTAAGGAACAGTGCCTACAAGTAATTATTTAGGTGCCTAAGTCAATTTATTCAAATAATGGAAATTGGGTAAATAGTCGAATATTCTAATTATTCGAAAAATACAAATAATTC